GTTGGGTTCTCCCTCTGGGGGACCCTCTGGCGTCTCCTCTTCCCTCTGGGCTTTTGCCCACTTTCACGTGTAGAGTAGGGCCCACTCGTGGTGGGACTTCCACCACCCCCTACACGAAGGAGGAGGAGGAGAAGATGGCCGCCCTTTTACAGGAGAAAAAGGAGAAGAAGGAGGCCAAGAAGAAGGCCTTGAAGGAGGAGCAGGCGGCCAAATTAAAAAAGATGGAAGAAGAGATGGCCAGGGAGAAAGAGAAGTTGAAAAAGGAAGAAGAAGAGAAGCTGAAGGAGATGGTTGAAGAAGAGGAAGGTCCGTCACAACAAAAGAGTAGCGGGCAGCCCAGAAGTGGTAATGGTGGGAACCTGGAGAAGAGAATATCCGAGTGGGTTGCTAGCCTGACTGTGGGAGAAGAGGAAGAGGTTAGTATGTACATCCCGCAGGATCAGCAAGAAGCTGCCATGAGGGCTTGGGATGCAGAGAAAGACCCCCTTAGACGCCAGGCGTTGGAAGATGAGAAGAGGATGGAGTGGAAGTTAGCGGTGATGAGGGAGAAAAAGAGGAGAGTTGACAAGGCGGCAGAGGCGGCGGAAGCACTAGAGGAAGTGAAAACGATAGAACAACAATTAGCCGCCCAACCCGATTTCCCGAATCAGATGCGAGTCATGGCTCGAAGCATCGCATGCCTGGCACGAGTCCAGGCAGATCAGTATGACTTCAGTAGGAGTCAAGATATAGCTGTGCGCTCGATACGATTGGGCTTTAGGGACTTTGCTCGTGAACTGGTAGGCGCCGTTGCGGCTGAGGTGGGTCATCGCCTCGACAAGACTGAGCGGTTCTGTACTGGCGCCATTGAAGGCGTCAAGGCGGCAGCCCCCAAGGAAGAGGAACCACGCCCGCCACGTAGAGAGCCGATCAAGGTCAATTTCCCAGATTCCTATAGTGGGAAGAGGGAAGAGAACTTTGATAATTGGGAGGCCAACGTTAAGACCTATGTGCATTTGCAGCAGGTTTCCCTAGATCAGCAAGTCTTGATTGCGATCCACGCGCTTAAAGATGAGGCCGCCAGTTTTGCAAGGTCCTTGGTTCGTGCCGCTAACTGTAGCGACGATCCCGTTGCCTACTCCTYGTTTACCTCCCTCACCGAATTCCTGAAACTGCTGCGTGAGCGATTTGCTGATGTCGCCCGCAGTGTCAAGGCTTCAGATAAGCTCCAAACCATCCACGTGCGTAAATGGAAGAGTGCTAGAGCACTCAAGGGTACGATGGATGAGTTGGTGGCCGTCCCTGACCATAAGGTCACAGAAGCCCAACTGGTCAATCTCTTTKACCGGGCCATGCCCGAAGCCTTGCGAGGGCATTTCTTCGCAAAGAGCGAAGACCCTGCCACTACGTACGATTCTCTTAGTCGAGAAGTGGTGGCTTTCGAAGCCAAGTCTGCGTGCGTGTCTACCTTCTGACACAAAGACTTGGACAAAAGGAAACCATGGAAGGGTCGCACTATCTCAGGGCAGGTAAAGACCAAGGATAGCCTTGTCCTGACTTTAGATGAGGGTAGTGTGGATGAGATTCCCTACGACCAGATTGAGTGGGGATTAGAGGAGGCGGACAGCGGAGTGGGCCAAGGGAGATCTTACGCTGCTATCGCGGCTAGAGGGAGGCCACAAGGAGGAAGAGGCCAGGGCCAAGGAGGCCGGGCCTCAGGGAGTCAATTTCAGGGCGATCAGGGGGTTGGCGGCAGAGGAGGAAACCGCCAAGCGGGAGGCAGGGGTCAAGGTCCCCCGCAAAACCGTCCTTGGA